ACTATTTTAATTAAATGGCATGGTAGTGGTCGCGGTTTCAAGCCGCTACCAAATCATGGTGATTAGATTCTTTGCAGCGGTTTGCGGAACCAAAATAAAAAATTATTGGCGCCACAATCGGTGCCAAAGAAAAAAAATAAAAACAACGCACCGAAATCAGTGCCACCCAAAAAAAAATGTAATAATCTATTTTTTGGCGCCGAAATCAGTGCCACACCATAATGTTTTTTGTGTTGGCACCGACTGCTGCGCCATAACACCCAAATTATCATTTAATTTTATAGTACATTGAAATAAGACAAGATAGGATGGAAAAATTATGGAATGTTGAATATGCTATAAAATTTGCTACAAAAATTATTAAGGCATTTGAACTATTCCCAAAACTGAACACAAATTGTAAATCTCATGAATAAACATTGAACAATTACATAAAAATATGATATTACTCTTTCCTAACATATTACAAGTTCATGTATTTTTTGTAAAACAAGTACTAGAGCATTTTTGCAATTCCTCTAAATCTAATTGACTGAGCTCTACTCTGGCATTGAGATCTCCATCAAATACTGCAAGATGCTTCCTGGTTAGGTCAGTAACATATTTTGTAAGCATCAAAACTTGTCTGGTTGGTTGAGAAATCTTACAATTTTCCTTATATACAAAAGGGTTACATGAAATTCTTGCCATTTGAACCAATAGTATGGGGAAATATCCAATCAGGTGGTAAAACATAATGTGACATATCTCTGAAATTGTTTTTAGCATACAACAGAGATCCATTTAAAAGCATGATATTGATCCTGTGTACATCCATAAAGGACCACCCATCTTGTACTCCTTTCCACAGTGGCTACCTTCTTAACCAACAACAGGACCAAAGTGAGCTAAATTTAAATGAAAAGCTTATATATCCCCCCTATAGTCAACAGATAGATACTTACAGGGAATAAACTAACAGAGTAACAAATAAGAATATGTAAAATAATGAAGATGAATGAGTTCATAAGTTACCTAAATCTAAAATTTCAAGTCCAATGTATGGAACAAGAGCCTTTGGTATAACAATATTTGTATAGCCAGCATATGCCATCAACAATGGGAGAACAACAATAGATGTCAACACCAATTTTTTGTCATGGCATTTGTCTGCCAAATACACAGAACAATAGATATTGAATTACATTATGTAGCTTAAACATCATCCTTTGATCAGTTTTTCGAAGAATAAATTAGTGGATGGATTCCGACTTACTCCTTGTAGAGAGCTAAATCCAAGTCTAGCACCAATGGCAACTTGGGGTGGATCAAAAAGAGAGTTGTAGTGATTCCCATGGTGGTAGTTAACTCTTATCGAAGGGGTATCCGTATTGTAGCTTCCATGGAAAATGTTTATAGGTTCTAGAAGCAAGAATGTGATTGGTTAAATCAGAAAATAATTGCAAAATTAGATTCATTACAGGAATGAATATCGGAAATCAATTGTGCACCTATGTTGTATAAGTATATGTAAATTGACCTATTGTACATTTCGGATAAAGCCTAGATCTCGATGTTATTTCCGTAGACCTGCAAGCCATCAAAGAGGCTAAACTACTAATAAATCATATAAAATAATGTATTCAATGACCACCACTGATCAGCTCGAATTCTCCATAAAATAAACATTTGAATTCGACACTGAGTCAGACAAAGAAAGTATTTTCCAGAATATATTTTGAGAATCACCAAAGCATTTTAAGTGCAAAGAAACTAGTATAGGGCTTAAGGCATGAACTTAAGTTTACTGAAACTTCTAAATTTATGTTGAAATCGATTCAACTGTGCACCAAACTATTTATTCAACTCTTAATTTAATCTTTTCTTGTCTGTTAAAGTAGCAAACAAGATTATGCTGCCAAAAAGGACATAACTTAAAAATTCCAGGGTGCATCGATTAGTTCATTTATCTTATCGCATTATTGTCATGAAGAACACATTACCAAATGCTGTAAAACTTAGAGAAGTTAAATCTTACAAACACACCTACAAACTAGACGCGCCCTAGTCAAAACTATAATTCAATCTATAATCCGAATGCACTAAACACTGTTAAAAAATTATTATAGTAGTTTATCTTGCCTCATTTGTGTAGCCTTAATTTGTGCCTCTTCAAAAATGTTCGCTATCAAATGTCACATGGTCGATTGAACAGATTTAGCATTTCTTTCAGCCTTATTAGTTGACGCAGACATTGCTTGATTAGTAGTCATGTTTTTGCCAATAGTTAGAATTTTGAATTGGTTTGGCTCATCAGCAGATTCGGTTGCAAGAACAAACATAATAGACTTCTTTAGGGAGTAAAGTTGCAAAATAGGACCACTAAAATAGCTTCGCAAGAAAACTTGAATGCCAATACCTTGTCTCTTTCCGCTTACAATATGAAGTGAAACCTTCTGTGATGAACTATGAGAATCGATCCCTCTCTCAAATAGACAATACTAGCAGAAGTTCCCCTAAACATATTATGGTAATTGCACACAAAATTCAGATCAAATTTCAACATACATACATCTCCTAAATTAGAACTGAAAATTAAAAGTCAAGAGAAAGAGATTTAAGCTAATTAAACTCAATGGATCCATCTGTTGTGCCCTTCTTGTTAATGTCATACCCAACAAATTTCTTCTCACCATATACCTTGACACCACAGGAATCACTCAAACAGTGACAAAAAAGCCTAGAATGCTGATTACCGTTCTAATCAAGATCGGCTCTTCAGCTAGTAATCAATTCCGTAGCGAGCTTTCGGCGAGCTGGCCGCGGCCATCATCGATGTTGTAGCTTGCTTTTCCGCTACCATTGCTCATCCGCTGAGCGTTCCTCTCTGCAGAAAATAAATGAAAGGTGCATTCTTGTGTTACACCTATATTTTATTTAAGAAAATCATAAGAAAGGCTCAACTTTCGGTGCCTTATGTATTTAAAAAAAAAAAAAGAACACATTAAAATAAAGGCACAACTTTCGGTGCCTTACTAAAACTTGTAAAAAAAAATCAAAAGAAAGGCGCAATTTTCCGTACCTTATGTATTTTTGAAAAAAGAAAATTAAAACAAATCCGCAACTCTCCGCACCTTAAAAAAAAAAATTAAAACAAAAGCGTAATTTTCCGCACCTCACATGTATAAAATATATTATTGTAGAGGCAAAAACAATAGCTCCTCTTCCTATATTTTTTAAACACATTATTATTTTTAATTTTTTTAAAAAATATAACTATAAAGTAACACACTGTTGTTTGCACCTCTTCCTACACTCTTTTTATCTTTTAATAAAAAATTTTAGGCACTGCGTTTGACTCTTATATTTTTTATTTTCTTATTTTTATGAAATAATTGGTGCCACTCACGGGCCCCTTATTTTTTATTAAAAATAAATTTGAAAAGTTGGTGTATAAAATAGCACCAACATGAAATAATAATTATTTTTTTATATATATAAAATAATAAGGCACAATTTTTGCACCAAGAAGTATTTTTTATATATTTTGGTACGAACTTTGGTTACTAATACTATCCGCGCCATGCCGCGCCACCTTATCCGTACCAAACATGGCTTTTCCGGGTAGTGATATATATATATCTATATATGTATACTTATATACATATTATCACCATTATCATTTCACGGGTAACTTTCATTAACTTATCATCTTGTTGCGCTACTTATCCACAGTAATAAACTCTCTGTTTCATAAACAGATTTTCTTTATCATTGTGCATGCTACGGTCGCCGTATACAACTATGTCCATACACTTATCTTCACACACTAGGAATGCCGCCGTTGTCGCTCTCACTTTATCCATACACTTTTCCTTACTCACCTATGCACACTATTCACACAATTACTTTAATTGCTTCACTTCGTTTTCAGGTCATTCTCTCTTTCATCAGTCTCCGCACTAGTGTTCTTTCATCTCGCCTTCATTCTTTATTATTCAAACTATTTATTGTTGTTGTTCTTTTACTATAGGTTATTGCTCCGTTTGTTGTGAATCTTTGATATATTGACTATTGTTGGTGTACAAGGCTTAAGTAAAACACTACTGGTGATTGTTGATACTTGTTTTTGTCACCTATGGTGGTGTTGATCTAATTTTTTTATGCTGCTTGATCCGTTTGGTTTGTACAGCTTTGGTTTACCATATGTTCATTAGAACGTTGTGTTTTTCTATGTTTATAAGTGCGTCGATTGATTATTTTGATTCTTTGTGATCTAAGGTGTTCCATACCTATAACATTTTATAGTACATTAGTTTACTTGAATAAAACTTGATCGGGGTGTAGGTTTTCCTCTGTCCTTATAAATGTGTGTTAAATATCTAGTGTTTTGATATGTAACATTCTTCAAGAGTGTTTACTTGGGTTCGTTATTCCTAAGATAAGTGATGTTACGATTGCCCAATGAGAATTTGCTATATGAATTTTTTCATTGGACAAGTTAATTCTGTATTTGATCCTAATAAGAACCTAGTTAGCGCTGTTTCTATATTGGGATTTGCCAATCCCTATTAATCAGTTCTAAGATTCACCGAAGTGTTCTAATTCATTTTATAAAGTCGATCGAGGAGTTACTTGCTCCCTTGCTATATATACATCATATATGTATATATGTGTGTAGATGTAAAAGGATGAATGCAATCAAAACATAACGCCAATTTTTGTGCTAATGTTCGATGATTCAAAGGAATTAATAATTGTCTAAACTCATATGCACAAGAATCATGAATCAAGAAATATATAATTGTGTTCTTTGTACTAATATTCGATGATTCAAAGGAATTAATAATTGAATAAACTCACTAAACGTGTATGCACAAGAATCATGAATCAAGAAATATATAATTGTGTTTTTATTCTTTAATTATCGGTATTCTCTCTTTTTTTTTTTTTGAAAAAAAAAAAATCTCTATCTGCCTATGTTTCTCTACCTAATTAAGCTACCTGGAAATGGGAAATGTTCAAAAAGAGCGTTTGAGATGCTTGAAATCCAAAGAATCAGTGCACTCCACATTGGGTCGATACAAATTGAGCAGTCTGAGCAGTTCCGAAAGCTTCTCCCTGGTGACGTCACTCGTCCCTAGTTGCAGCAGCAGCAGCAGCTTCTGGAACGCCCCGACTTCCAGGGCTTCGATCATCACATTCACACATGTCTCCCCATCTTCATCGTGCCTTCCCAGCTTCACAAGTATGGAGATCGCCAGCTCCGTCGCCACCTCCGAAACGCGCAGCAGCTTCTTCACCAACACCGCCACCGTCAGCGCATTCTCGTACGCCTTCAACCTCCCCTCCCCGTGCATGCAGAGCCCGTCTAATACCCCCAGCGCCTTCTCGCACACGCTCCGCCCCGACGACTCCGCCAGAATTTCTAGCAACGCCGCCACCAATCCTGTCTCCGCCAATCTTGCCGCAATGGCGGCGCTTTGCGGCGATTTCAATGTGTGGTACATTGCCAGGAGCGAAGCCTTGGTTGTGGTTGGGCAAATTGGCTCTTTGATCATCTTCACTAGGGTTTCCAAGGCTCCCTCAATTTTTGTAATCTCCTCCGCTTTGTTTTCGTCGAATGATAGGATCGATTTGACCGCTATTACAGCGTTTCTACGCGACGACAAGCTTCCGGCTTTCATTATCGATACAAGTTTCTCGAGTGACGGCGTGCTCGAAAGGTTTCGATTTGTTGCTTCGTCGTGAAAGGGGATTGTTGCCATTAGACCTGATAGAAGCTCTTGCAATATGTCCCCATCTTTAATGGCATAGCCATCGTTTCTGCAGGCGAATGAGTCGAAAGCTTTGGACAGAACTGCGGCGGTGCCATTGGCGGCAATGCAGCGTCGATTCCGATCACTCTCTCGCGCCCAAGACGTGATCTTGGCGACAAACTCCTTGCACTTTTGGTCATCGTTTCTTCGTGCGGCTGCTTCGATTTGGGAGAGGGTTTGGGAGAGCTGGTGGGAAGTGATGGGGATCTTGGGAGTGGGGATTCTTTCGATTCCCCGGCACGTGTTCTGCACGCACCAGTGTTGGATCATTTTACGGATGGCGTGGTTGGGGATGGAGGAGTCGGGATTGGGCAGGAGCTGGTTGGTGACGGGGCAGGTGGAGTTGCCGGCGTCGATCCACGTCTCGATGTTGGAGCGGTCGTAGGTCATGCCTGTGGAGAGGGTCACGGGGTCCTTCATAAGCTCGTGCGAAATTGGGCAGAGGAACTGCTCCGGTATGATCAGCTCCAGCTCCAGCTCGCCGGATTTCTCTGCGGCCGTGCGGCGGGCGGCTCTTCGGTTTCTCCATGACCAGGTCATGCTCAGTAGTCCTCAATTAATCCCACAGAAGAAGTTTATGTATTCAGTTTGGAAGAGATAATCCGAAAATCACGGCGACCAATATGTACATGTATTTATATATATATAGTGTTAGGAGGAGACATATTATATATAGCTGCGGGACGTGTGCGTGCGTGAGTATGGCGGACGCGACGCGACGCGACGCGGCAGGACTTTCAAAACCGTAGGAGATGGGAGACCCAAACCTCGTCGTTTTCTTTAGTGATTTCTACCATCAAATAATTAGCCGGTAAGTCTTTCATATTATTTATTTATTTATTTTATGACATAAAAAAATCATATTCAACTTAAACTTAAAAGTATTATTATGAAAACGATTTGACGGTGTGTAGTGTTGTGTTAGATTTGAATTAAGAAACAAAAGGGTGTGAAGGAAAGCTTGAAACAGAAAGGTTCAAATTTACGTATGACCGTTGACGAGAATGGGTAAATTTTGAATATGGAATGGAATTATTACATAAATAATTAATTGGCTGTTTCAAAAGTTGGACCGGAAGACGTCAACGAGTCGGTGGACCGACCCTCCGTTAATTCATCTTATATTCAACAAACCAAACTCTACTCATTCCAGAAGGAATTCAATAAACAACTATTATTATTATTATTATTATTATTCACTATAGTTCTACTTGGATTGTTTTTTATTCAAAAAAAAAATTGTAATAAAATACAGAGCAATAGTACTGTATTGATAAATAAGATTGTGTAACATAACACAAAAAAAAATATTAAAATTTTCTTTGATAGAATGTGATAATATTTTAACAAATAAAATTAATAACGAGATAAATTGGTAATTAAATGAAGACTACAAAGATAATAAATAAAAATTAATTGTCTAAGTAAGATAAAATTGAATAAAAAATATGACTATTTAGGTGGAACCGGGAAGCATTATTATATGAGCATTTAATTTGTGGCACTACCTGAAAATTAGGCTATAGTTGCCGTAAAAATAATCACGGTTTTAATACAAATTTATAATTTTTTACTAAAAAGTCACGGAAAAATATACGAAACCAGTTCCCTGGAATTTTGCTGGTGACTTTTTCTGTGACAATAAGTTATAGAATAATACAATGACATGTCTGTGACTTTATATAGCAACAGAAGCTGCAACAAAATTTCGTGAATATTTTATAATTGTGACATTTTCGTGACAATAAGTTACAAAATAATACCATTACACCTCCGTGATTTTATATTAACGAAAGTTGTAACAATTTCGTGACTTTATATTTTTGAAAAAAAATATATAATTATATTATAATTTTTGTCCAATGCAACCACGCACGATTATTTTTTTCGGAATTACTTCGTATCACACTATTTTAAGACTTATACAACTTGTCATGCCAACTTAGCTATCTACTCTAAAGTATTAATTTTTGTTTGTTATTATATTTTAACTATAAAAATATTATTGGTTATAAATTTATATTTTAACAAAATATATATATTTATTTAATATATCATCATGAATTTTCAACAAAAAATTGAAGTTTGTCTATTAAAATAAAATATTATTAAATTTATTTAACATATAGTATTTTTTTAGTATTAGAGTTTTTAAATTTCATCTATTGTCAATAAATTATTTATTTTTATTTTTTTAGACTCAATTATTTTGTTAAAAATAATCTATCATATAAATTTTTAAAATTAACAATATATTTAAAAATATTATCGATATGGTAACTATAAATAGTTAAATATTGGATTATGTTAATATTTGCAATAACTTAAATAAATATATATTAAGATTTTGCTAATATTCCAGTACTTAATTTTAAGCAGTGATGAATAGTTAAAAAAAAATTATTCAATTACAATACAAGTAAAAATAAATAAATATATTGAAGATGATTTTATTATTCTGTTATTTTTTTAAATAACTACGAACGATAATAAGAAAAATTTATAGTTGTTTTCGTTACTTATGTTGTGACATTTGATTTTAAAAAGTCACGGAAATTATACCATAACAATATCTGTAATAATTTAAAATGTTGCAAATATTTTGGTTATTTTTGCCGCAACTTAAAATAGTCAAGAAAAAATTTCGTGACAATTTTTGTGACGACATAGTCAAAAGACACGGAATAGAAATATCTTGGACATTTTCGTTACATAAGTCGTTACTTTAAATAATCACTGAAAGTTGTTTGTAACTTCTTCTGCAAATATTACTTACGGAATAGTCAAAGCAAAAAGTTATGACATAAATTTGTCGCGAAATTACTTTCCGTGACTTTTAATAGTCGCGGATTAAAATTTACGACAAATTTCCGCAATTATCAACCCTTTTTTCTAGTAGTGTGGGTTTTGTTTGGTTTCGATCTAAATTTGATTTGAAATTGAATGTTAATTTGAATTTTTATTTAAATAGTTGTTATCGTTGAAATTCGTCAAAGATGGTCCAACAAATTTAGGTCGGTCAAAATCCATAAGATTTTTTATGCATCGGCCTACTCAAGAAAGCATCCGAGCTGAATTTCGCAATAGAAAAATAAGTTGATAAAAATATACGGGAATTAAATTACTAAGATGAAGAACAACGACCATAGAACAAATTAAAATAAAAAAAAATTATTAAGTATGGATGTAATCTAAAAATTCGAAATAGCAAGATTCTTGAAACAATAATTGGAAGAATTGAATTGAAAAAGGATTTTTCAGCAAAAAAATAGAAACAATTAAGGAAAATAAGTAAATGTATAGATGAAAAAGGATGCAACAATGCAAGAATGCAATAAGATATATGGAAAGAAAAATAAAAAAAGAAACAAGAAAGGAATTTCTAGTGGGGTGCCGGAGGTATGATTTGTGATCCTTTTCTCTTTCTTTTATATCACAATTTTATTTATTAATTATCCATTTTTCCACTCCATTTTCTACGACTCCCTCAAACTTCATCCATTTTATTTCTTCACTTTTCAAATTTGATTGTGTCTTAATCCGCACACCACCTTGGGCTGGATTAGGGATGTTTGGGCTGGGTGGGCTAAGCCTCCGGATTGGGCTTTCGCTCTTTATTGGGTCTAAAAATTAGGGACTAATAAATGCCCCAACAAAAATATTTGGACGAGAAGTTTACGTACAATGTCAAATTTTGAAGCCCAATATTTTTGTACAAGGTTTCGGTAGTACTTCAGCTCTAGCCTTATATAGCCTCATCCGGCAATGACTGGAAGCTGGTCCGGGTCGTCTCAGAGTTGAATTTGTTGGGGAGTGTGACGGTTGAGATTGAAGTTTCTCGATTTTCTTTGTAAAAATTCAACTGCCTTGACCTTGAAGTCGTCTTTGTACTGTAGGGCTCTTTCCAAGTCTTGATAATTGGCTATGATGTTGAGACTGACCTTTGAAACTCTATCATCTTTGAGAGCTCTAATCATAAGTTCGTCCTCCGTATTTGGAGATTTTGGATCCTCTGGAGGAAGTTGTTCATCCGAGGCAACTTTGTTATCCGATATCACTCGTTTTGGCCTCCACTTTTGTTGGATCTGGCATAGATGCCACAAACTACTCTTGTGTAATACATTTTTATTCTGATCCATCCGTGTATTGCCTGCTCGGAGCTTATTTCATTGTTTCCCCATCTTCTTTTGATTGGAAGTAGCTGTCCGGCATCAACATTGCTTCCTCCGTCTTTGCGCTCTCGTCTTCTTCTTCCTTCAGTCGCATGTCCGACATTCATCCCTTGGGGGCTGCTCGTAACTCCGCATCGGATGAAAGGTTATTGTCACTCAGTCCATCGAGGCCACCCTCCATATCTCTCCATTTTTTTCAAAAGAGATTTTTGCATATATGTCGCTCTGGTTCCTCAGGTGTTTGTCCGCCCTTGCTACTAATGAGCAAGATTTTATTGGGCGTTCTCCGACAGTATTGATTGGCGCATGAGACGGCTGAATGGTCATGGGGGTCTGATAAGATCTTTATTCGATATCGAAATTTCCTTCCTTCGCATGCGGTGAATGATCTTTGCAACTGACGTCCCAGAAGAGCTGTTTCGCCTTGGCCGTCTTTGCGAAAAGCTGTCAGAAATTGTTCTACTCTTGAAGGGTCAAGTTTTCATGAAGTTGACACGTCATATTGTTGACAACCATGTTGATGACTTGGTTTTCGGATATCCGCACCTGACATCGACCTTCTGTCCCGCGAAACCTTTCCAAAAAACTTCATACTGGCTCATCATTCTTTTGTTGTATGTTAGTTAAGTCGGATACTGTCACTTCCAGAAGAGGGCTGTAAAAACGCTCGTAGAATGCCCTTTCTAGATCGTCTCATGTATAAAATGAATTATGAGGGAGAGACGCATCCCATGTGAAGGCCGGTCCAATGAGGGATAACAGAAATAATTGGAGCTTGTACCACTCGTTTTTCCTGCAGTCCCCTCTGTACTGTGCTGTGAACCGATTGATATGCTCAATCATTGAGCGCGAGTCCTCCCCCGAAAAAAACACAAAGTCTGGGGTCCAAGCATTCCAGGGGAGAAAATGGTTGACGGTGATCTAATGCGAGAGTGACCGTTGATAGTACGGCCTTGCGGGTTGCCAAATAGGGTCGCCGCATATTCTTTGGATTTCCTCTTCAATAGCCTGTGGATCGATAATTGGCCGCAACAAAAAAGGTATTTCTGCGTGTCCTCTGTGCCGTATGGGGGTCAGTGCTGGTCTACCCGGATCTGGGGCAGTTCTATCCGGATTCGACGGAGTTGACTGTCTCAAAGCTGGCGAGTCTTTCTAGGCTCTTTTCTGGCTCTGGTGCTTGCTTCAAGAGGTAGTGAAGGTGGCGGATCTACATCCCTTGTCACCGTCGGAGGTGTTGGCATTGCCGAGGCTGCCTTTTGGGTAATTTCCGAAGCTGGATACGCTCCCGGAGATGGCGGGACTGTCCTTTGGGTTATGTATGGAGCTGAAAGTGCTCCTAGGGGTGGCAGAGCTTTCCTCCAGGTGAGG